AGCACAGCTTTCTTGCAGGGCAGTCTGCACGAGGAGATCTGGCTGCGCTGCCCACCTGGCTTCACTGGGTCTTTCCCTTCTGGTACCCAGTGGTGTCTCCGGCGTCCAGTCTACGGTCTCCGCCAGGCGCCACGTGAGTGGCACGACACACTGAGGACTACGCTTGCGGCTCTTGGGTTCGCTCCTTCTACTGCCGACCCGTTGCTGTTTCTGCGCACCGACACCTCTCTGCCGTCGTTCTACATCCTCGTGTTGTTATAGTCACAGTAGGCTCCAATGTGCCTAAAACGAAAGATAGAGTGCACAGTCGGATTTCTGCACAGCGGCTTCAAACGTTCATAGCGTTCTGGTCACAGCTTCAAATGACTTGATTCAACTTGGATCTGGAGCGTCTTATTGTCGCCTACAATAGGCAATTTAGATCGCACGATTTGACCAAGTATTGACGACACAGCGTTGGTTTGAACGAACGGCACTATGGCAGCCACTATAGTCTTAGAACACAAGATAGGAAGAGATCTGAAGAGTTACGAGTTGGGAATGACTCCCAGCTCCTACAAACCCCAAGAGCCGAGGTACAGTGATGTGGAACAGTGCCACACTGTCCCGAACCACGAAGGGTCTCGAAACTACCCTTCACTAGGGCCTACACTAAGTGAAATGTTACACTACACAAAGTAATGTAACTATCTTCAATATCTTGAGGTGTACCCTTTTGGCGAGCTTCGAAATCACTTGAGGCTTGACACCAAGGCTCGGGCTCTTCATCACAAACTCATCCTTGAGTTCTTGATGGGTATGCTGCACACACCTGCGACACACCGAACGTTCGACACAGGACAAAATAGAAACCGCGCACGACAAAATAGAAACCGCGCGCGAGACACAAACGACCGCGTAACACGCGTCTAGCGATAACTCGCTATTGACTCAACACACACACTCGACATCATGACTCAACATTCATACACAATTATAAGCATGAAATATATATTATCCCATGCCCTCATACCATTCCATACACACACACATGCATGCATACGGACAACAAGCCGAGTACAAACCATAGGGTTGCACCAACACGTGTATGTCGACGACTTGGTCTTTGCCACTGCTGACACTACTGGACTCGCCTACGTGAAGTCCGAGCTGCAGAAGAGACACACGTGCACTGACCTGGGTGAACTGCGCAGCTACCTTGGCTTGCAGATCACCCGGGACAGAGCACGCCGCACCATTACCCTGACTCAGTCACACATGGTGCAGCAGCTCCTTCAGCGCTTCGGCTTCACGTACTCCTCGCCTCAGGCCACTCCTCTGTCTACTCGCCACTCACTCTCAGCTCTGCCTTCGGATGAGTCCGTAGAGTCGAGTGGCCCGTACCCAGAGCTTGTTGGCTGTCTCATGTACCTGATGACCTGCACACGACCTGACCTTGCATACCCTCTTAGCATTCTTGCACGCTATATTGCTCCTGGGAGACACGGACCAGAGCACATGGCTGCAGCGAAGAGGGTGTTGCGCTACTTGTGCAGTACGTCGGGCATGGGACTAGTGCTTGGAGTGCGGAGTCCAGTGGTCCTCACTGGACACGCAGACGCTTCTTGGGCTGACGACCAGGCTACGCAGCGGTCGTCACAGGGTTAAACCTTCAGCCTTGGTTCCGGCTCTGTTTCGTGGTGGGCTACTCGCTCGTCTTCTGTTCTCGGCTCCAGTTGTGAGGCTGAGATCTACGCAGGGGCCATGGCTGCTTAGGAGCTTCGCTGGCTCTCCTACCTGCTGAACGACCTTGGAGAGCCGCCTCGTTCTCCTCCAGTCCTGTACGTCGACAACAAGGCCATGCTGGCCTTGTGTCGGGAGCAGAGACTGGAGCACAGAACAAAGCACATTGCTCTCCGCTATTTCCTTGCTCGTGAGCTACAGCAGCGTGGTCAGTTGCGACTTGCGTACGTGGCCTCTGAGGCCAACACTGCTGATGTCTTCACCAAGGCACTTCCGCCTTGTGATCATCAGCGCTGCTGCACCCAGCTGGGTCTTGTGTCTGTCTTGCCTCACTTGCTCTCCTCTTGACCCTCTTTGTACTGTTATATATATATATCACTGCTCTTGCTTGTTTAGTCTTATATATATATATGTACTCCTGCATGTGAACTGGCCTTGTGGCCTTGCACTTGTGCTCGGATTGTGTGGTGACGTTGTGATCCACCCTGAGCTTGCTTTGCTTTGCTTTGCTTTACTTGACTAGTCTTGTGACCCCTAGTTCTCCCCCACTTCGCCTATGGGGGTGTGTCAAACATTATATATGTTGTTGTAGTTGTTTAGGCCACAGTGGGTTAGCCTATAGGGGGTACACATTCCTAGGTTTTCATACTTGTACTCATTTCACTGTTAGTTCATTCATCCTTGTTCAACAAGATCTCTGTCCCTTCCATTTTGCGAGATGCTGAGCACATCGAAACACACCACCCTTGAACTCCATGGCGCAATATTTGCAAACACGGACAGCACCGAGTGTGCCGGGACGGATGGGAACCTTGAAATGCTTAAAAACGACATGAGTACTATCCTCCTCCTGCCATTGCGCCTCCGAGGTCGAGGCCGAAGGATCAGTAGTAGGCTGACAAGACGGACTAGAAGGCTGAGTGTCGGGAGAAGTGACTGGTGGACTAGACATAGCTTAGGTCGGGTCAATTTTACTTACCACGGATTGGTTGGGTGGGGGACGTGCTGTGGTTGGTCACGAGTTGTTGGGGGTAGTGGGCGCAATGTTGATGTTCGTGGGGTGATCGTGGCGACTCGGTTTTGCACGTCCCCTGGTTGGAAAAACGCGACCCAAAATGTCGGTATACGGGCGTACGGAAAAAGCGCGAACTTTTGTTTTTTATTTTTTGTTTTTTTTTTTTTTCCTGCCCGGCTTTCCGTATCGCGCATTTGTCCCCGTTTCACGTTTTTGCGTTTATACGTGAACACATATATGTGAAACAAAAAAAATGCTGAGCGTATACGGTAACATAGGGCCCAACCTCCTGGGAGAAACACTCATGGTAGGCTTGGGTGTGTGGCACGTGAAGCATGGTTGCACGCTTGCCTCGGTTATGTTTCTGGTTCGTGAGAGAGCGTTCAAGCCCCTTGTGCAAACCCTCCGCACCAGCCACCTCCCCATTGTCTGACATTTGAGTCTACTCGAACGGCTTCTGGTGCAATAAAGAGCGTTCAAGCCCCTTGTACAGACCCTCCGCACCAGCCACCTCTACACCAGCCACCTCCCCTTCTTTTTTTGAGGCGCCTCAAAATTGATTCTGGTTCTTGAGAGAGCGTTCCAGCCCCTTGCACAAACCCTCCGTGATAGAACTAGTGCTTTGAGACGTCTCAAAACACTGATTCTGGTTCTTGAAAGAGCGTTTGAGCCCCTTGTACAGACCCTCCGCACCAGCCACCTTCCCTTCTTCTTTCCCTCGGTGATGATTCAGGTCAACGAGAGGAGAGAGAAACAAAAACTTTCTGGATCGCCTCCGGCATGCACCGTACGTACCCCTCCGTTGCTTCACATCTCTCATCCTTTCTGTCACATCACTCCAAGACTGAGCGCTGGTGAACCAGTGGATGGACGTTGAGGGTCACACACACTCTCTTCCCTCCTGTGATGGTTCTGGTGTTCCTGCCTCATGCATGCACCGTACCCGCCCGTTGCTTCGCATTTCTCATCCTTTATGTCACACCACACCAGGAGCGAGCGCTGGTGAACCAGTGGATGGACGTTGAGGGTCACACACACTCTCTTCCCTCTTGTGATGGTTCTGGTGTTCCTGCCTCATGCATGCACCGTACCCCCCCATTGCTTCGCATCTCTCATCCTTTCTGTCACATCACACCAGGACCGAGCTTTGGTGAACCAGTGGATAGACGTTGAGGGGCACACGTTCTGGTGTATGAGAGAGGGGGTGTTCAGTACAAGCCTCGTGTGTACCCATGCCACCCCTTTGCATTCTCTTGCAGGACCAAGCTTTGGTGAATCAGTGGATAGACGTTGAGGGGCACACGTTCTCACCTCCGGTTATGGTTCTGGTGTATGAGAGAGTGTTCAAGCCCCACTTGCACAAGCGCCCGTGCGATGAAGAGAGATGGAAGGAGGCAAAGGAAAAGGTGAGAGGAAGGGAGAGGAGGGAGTGAGTAATTCAAGGGCAAAGGTTGAAAGAGAGTGCGATGATTCTGCTCTACGAGCGGGTGTTCAAGCCCCACTTGCACAAGCGGCCTCGCGATGAGGAGAGATGGAAGGAGGCAAGGGAGAAGGTGAGAGGAAGGGTGGAAAAGAGAAGGGCATTTGGGCATTTCACTCCTCTACTGGTGGTGTTTCTGGTGTATGATAGAGTGTTCAAGCCCCACTTGCACAAGCGTCCGTGCGATGGGGAGAGATGGAAGGAGGCAAGGGAAAAGGTGAGAGGAAGGGCGATGGAGTGAGTAAATCAAGGGTAACGGTTGAAAGGGGATGTGTGATGGTTTTGGTGTACGAGAGAGTGTTCAAGCCCCACTTGCACAAGCGGCCGTGCGATGCAAGGTTGAGAGGGAAAAGGGGGGATTTGGCATGGCATCGAGGTACGTTGAGGGAGGTTGAGAGAGAGAGAGAGGTGCCTGGTCCTCTAATGGTGCCTCTCAAAACAGCTGCTCATGATGGGGAGTCTTCCTGGTACACAAATCATCTGTCATACACCACCCACACGCACTAGGAAGTCTCCCCATCAGCACTCTCACCATCCTCTTTCTTTCTTGGGAGCTCTCCCGCTCTCATAAAGAACACCAGTCGCCTCCTCCCTCTAATACAAGTAATCATCATACAACTTCCTTCCAGTACCCACGCACGCACACCACGCCGACCCTCCTCCCGGTCACCACTCATCATGTCATCCTCTTGCTTCAGAACTATTGCTCGCATGAACACAACCACTCGTCTGCTCTCAGAACAGTGGGCATCATATAACATACGCTACCCATGCACAGCCCACCTACTCTTCCCTCCCATCACCACTCACATCGTCCTCTTGCTTCAGAGCTATCACTCGCATGAACACCACCAGTCGCCTCCTCTCTGCCCTTCGCCGCTCACTGCTGCTGCTGCTGCTGCCACCACCTCCACCACTGGCAGCACCACTGCCACTGCCTCTGCTACTGAAGCCCTTGCGCCACAACTCTCGCAGCAGCACCAGCGCTTGCTGGGGGAGGGAGTGAATGAAAAGAAGGGGTACGCGAAGGGGGGAGAGAGAGGAGAGGAGAGGAGAGGAGAGGAGAGGGCAGACAGGTGTCAAGATCGGTGTTGTCTCTTCCCACACACGGCACCACCCCTGCCTGGTTCACTTCTTACTTACTTTGGGGTTTCTCTTCACTTGCGACTCGAGCCATATCGGTTCATCCACAGCCCCTCTGGTCACTTCAGCATCCTTATCCGCGTCCATCAGAGCCGCGAGCACGTTTGGTCAGGCACTTTCCCTTCCTTACCTGCGACTCCTCACCTGAGACTCAAGCCATATCGGTTCATCCGCAACCTGTTTGGTCACCTCAGCATCCTTATCCGCGTCCATCAGGGCAGCCAGAACGCCTGTTGTACTGTACTAGGTTGATGTTAGGGTTCCAAGAGTAGGGTTGCATCTTACCTGGGACTCCAGCCATATAGGCTCGTCAACAGCTCGTCTCGTAACTTCAGCATCCTTATCCGCATCCATCAGAGCCGCCAGCACCCCTACCGCCTGCTCCACCTCCCCTCGGAACATCATCCTCCTTAGAAGCCGCCTCAGCATCTGCCGGTGCACCGCTGGCAGACGAATGCAGCTGCCCCGGAAGCCCAGCGTGCGGGCGGCGCTCCGGCCGCGCCGCCCGTCTGCAGTGAGTGCGGTGAGATCGTTGCCAAAGTCCAAATGCCGCCACTCTTGATTTGATGTGAAGCGGAAGGGCGGGAGGGGCGTGTTGGGTGAAGTTGGTGCAGCAGCAGCAGCAGTAGCATTAGGAGCAGGAGGAGGAGTGGAGCGACAACGAGCAGAACCAACACGAGAAGCAGCAGCACCACCACTACCAGCACCAGCAGCAGCAGTACCAGAAGCCGTGGCGACTGCTCCTCTTTTTGGAGTTGCTGTCTTCCTGCGATTCTGTTGCCCCTCTTTCTCTACCTCCCCTTCTTGCTGCTGCAACTGCTGCCCCTTCTGCTGCTGCTCCTGCTGTTTCAAGGGACTGGGAGAAGGAGCGACAGTATCACCAACAGCAACAGCAGCAGCACCAGCAGCATCACCAGAAGCAGAGGGACGTTCAGAGTGACGAGCAATCTTTGACCCACTGCTCTTGTCTCTTCCTTCCACTAGCCCATCACCGCCACCATCAACTCCTGCACCACCTTCTTCAGCAGCAGCAGCAGCACATGCAGCATCACCTATAGCAGAAGCAGCCTTTCTTGACGCTGAAGATTGGAACCGTCCGTCTCGCCCGTGCGCCGTTCCTCCTCTCGCCTGCACCCTCTCTCCCCGTGCCTGATGTGGCGCAGAGCGGAGGGCGAGGATGGTGCAAGAGCTCTGCGCGTTGGAAGAGGGGGGCTGGAGATTCTTCTTCTTCCTCTGATCTGCGACACAAACAGGCAGGGGAAACACGGGCAAGGCTGAGGATTGGAAGAAGGGCAAGGATGGTGCGAGAGCTCTGCACGTTGGAAGCGGGGGGCTGGGGATTCTTCTTCTTCCTCTGATCTGCGACAGAGACAGGGAGGGGAAACACAGGCAAGGCTGAGGATTGGAAGAAGGGCGAGGATGGTGCGAGAGCTGTGCACGTTGGAAGCGGGGGTTGGAGATTCTTCCCCTTGCGATCTGCAGCAGCACAGACAGGAGAGAATATGGGGCCAGCGTAGTGTTAAGAGTTAGAACCTTTCCCTGCGTTCACTGGGCGTTCCTCCTCTCCTCTGCACCTTCTCTCCTTGCGCCTGCTGTGGCGCAGTGCAAAGGGCGTGGAGGGTGTGAGAGCTCTGCACGTTGTAACAGGGGGGCTGGAATTCTTCTTCCTCTGATCTGCACAAAGGGGATGGCCATGGGGAAGGAAAGACAAAACAAATCGGTGGGGACAGCGAATTCTTAACCCTAAGCCTGATAACCATCAGTGACATTTGACTCGACTCAGAAATCACACCCCAAACCCCACATTAGCAAGCCCTGACTTGTTTGTGAACCTTGAACCCGAATCTGAAACCAGGACCTTTAAACCCTGAACCTTGCTGTTAAGCCTGAAACCAGAACCCTGAACTTCGATATTTGAACCTAGACCCAGAACCCTGAACCTTCAAGCAGGGGGGTTTGTCCAGCAAATCGCTCGCCATGCAACACCTTTCTGTGATGGAGGTGAATCCTTCTGCTGTTCCTCTACCCGCCCTCCTTCCACTCCCTCCTCCTCCTCCTCCTCCTCCTCCTCCTCCTCCTCCTCCTCCTCCTCCTCCTCCTCCTCCTCTTCCCCTTCCTTCTCCTGCCCCTTCTCCTCCCCCTTCTCCTCCTCTTCCTTCTCCTCATCATCTTCCTCCTCTTCCTTCTCCTCCTCCCCTTCCTCCTCCTCCTCCTCTTCCTTCTCCTCCTCTCCCTCCTCCTCCTCTCCCTCCTCCCCCTCTCCCTCCTCCTCCTCCTCTCCCTCCTCCCCCTCTCCCTCCTCCCCCTCTCCCTCCTCCCCCTCTCCCTCTTCCTCCTCTCCCTCCTCCCCCTCTCCCCCCTCCTCTCCCTCCTCCTCCTCTCCCTCCTCCCCCTCTCCCTCCTCCTCTCCCTCGTCCCCCTCTTTCTCCTCCTACTCTCCTTCCTCCCCCTCTCTCTCCTCCTCCCCTTCCTCCTCCTCCTCGTTCACCTCATCCTTCTCAATTATTTCCTCGGTTTTCTCCTCCACATTCTTCTCATTTTCTTCCTCTGTTTCCTCGTCACTTTTCTCCTCCTCCCTCTCCACCTCCTCGCTCTCCTCCTCATTCTCCTCATCAATTTCCTCCTCACGTTCCTTCTCATTTTCCTCCTCACTTTCCTCCTCAGTCTCCTCCTCACTCTCCTCCTTGCTCTCCTCCTCCCCAGCTCTCCAATCATCCTCCTCAGGTTCCTCCTTTACAATCCCCCCAGACGCCATGCCTCCTGATGCGGAGGTTGCTACCATGCCAGCGTGTTTCTCCCTCTCCTGCTTCTCCTCCTCCTCCTCCTCCTCCTCCTCCTCCTCCTCCTCCTCCTCCTCCTCCTCCTCCTCCTCCTCCTCCTCCTCCTCCTCCTCCTTCAATAAACAGAACAACAATCTGGTTGTCAAGAATCCCCTTACTTTGTATGGACTTTTGCTATTCAGGCGCAATGACAATCATGATACCCGGGCCTTAACATCGGTCAGAACAGCTCAAGTCGTTCCAAGCAGGAAACCAGCAAAGGCTTAGGAAACCAGCGAAGGCTTAGGAAACCAGCGAAGGCTTAGGAAACCAGCGAAGGCTCAGGAAACCAGAGTGGTCTTAGGAAACCAGCGAAGGCTCGGGAAACCAGCGTTGGCTCAGGAAACCAGCGAAGGCTCAGGAAACCAGCGAAGGCTCAGGAAACCAGCAAAGGCTCAGGAAACCAGCGAAGGCTTAGGAAACCAGCGGCGGAGAGGCGTACCAGTAGGCCAATGGCCTTACGAAAACGAGCACCCTGTGTGTGTTGAAGCCAAAATAAGACGAACGACCTTGAAGGATGACTTCGAGTCTACTCAACACGCGGAGGCGTACCAGTAGGCTAGGCCAACGGTCTTCAAGACACGACCGGTCGGTGAGACGAACGACCTTTAACCGCAACGCCGAAAGAAGGGGTTCAGACGAGTTTCTATGGGTTTCACAAGAGACTTGGCCGTGGGTTTCTGTTAAATGCGCATTCGGTGGAATGGCCTCGTGCTCTCGCTACTAGGCTTCGCCACGGTCATGAATTTCGCTACGTTTCGAGGTGTTGTGAATGCTGCACATGAGCTCGGTGGGTCGAAAGTATGATCACCGTCCCAGTGTGGTTTAGGGTTACACACCTATCCACGGTCCGCTCTAACACGTGCGATTGGTACCCCCCATGCTCGCTAGAAAAATGTTGCATTGGGAGCTTTGCGTTACCTGGAAGAGCATAGCAGTTTTCCTTGTCACTCTCTCGGACTACCTTGTGTTAGGGCAGCCAGGTGGCAGAGGGTGGAACTAGGAGAAATCGTGCTTTTGGGCACACGGGATGTGAGGGATGGTGTTTTGGTCCACCAAATAGTTGGTGGACGAGTTGTAAGGATTTACAAATCCTTACTAAGGCTCTTGCCTATTTTGTCGCACCGAACCACCCCCGAGTCGCCTCCGCACCAATCGCAACCATCACATAGCCATCCTCGCCCGACCTCCCCGCCTAGCTAGCATTTCCCCTATTTAGGTCTCGACACTTTCTTTGTACGGTCATCCAGTACTCAATCATTCTCGTTATTCGTTATTCTGCGCACTCTGCAAGTTCATTCATAACACGAGTGTTATCAACCAATTCAGAAGGTTCTGAATAGAAATATAATATCTAGCAATTGCTATCAAGCTTTCTATATCAAATCGCAAAGATGTTAATGATGTGGTATCACTGCCAGGGCTGTTTTTTATCAGGGTAATTACCCTGATTTTAGGGTGATTTCAGGCTTTCCACTTTGTGGAGAATGAACTTTCAGAATTCATGATTTCTCAATCATGATCCAATCAGAGTAATAGATTTCGTATCCCTGATTTCGAGTACAGTGTAACAGACTAGGCTGTTAGTGGACCCTGACTTAAGAGAGTATCGACTCTGTGGTCCCTGAATTTGACCTTATCGAGAGGAAGTTTCAGGGAAATTTCCTCACAATAACCCCGCCTTCGGATTGTTCCAGTACAGCCAGCGCATGAGCGAACCCCGAATGAGACATTATCGAGACGAAGTTTCTTCGAAATTTCGTTGCGACACACTCATTTTCGAATTTCCAGGAAGAACCTTGTTACAATCCCAAGTGGGACTTAGCGAAGGATCGCTCAGAATTGATCGCAGTATAGTGTTGCAGCGGAAGTTTGAATCTTAGGTCAGAGTGAATCTAAATGACTGAGTTGATAAAAGCATGCATACGTCGGGTTTATATAGGAATATAGAGGAATACGAAAAGACTTGGGCTAGCCATGTACACTAAGGAAAACATTTCCTTATTACAGCAAATTCAAACCGTGTGGCGCGGGAACCCGTTCAAAACCTGTTCTCGCTCTTTTCACTTCGAATGTTTCTGCCTGCATCAGTCTTGGTCAGACGGTTGCTGCGTCGCTCGACTCTTCTGACTCCTCGACTTCGTACTCGATAGAGTTGGCTCCTGCAGCATACAGGAATGCCTTCTCATGTAATTTCATATCGTAACACTCTCCTTCATTCCTGGGCGCAGGAGGCGCTGACTCGCTTGACTACTCCGGTGAGATCAGAGCAGTGCTTGTACTGCTGACGTGGCAGACGCTTGGTGAGGAAGTCTGCTGCCATCTTAGTAGTCGGATAGTAGGCGAGGTCAACTTTTCCTTGGTCAATTTCGTCCTTGACGAAAAAGTACCGAAGTGCGATGTGCTTCGTGCGGTTCACGAAACATGGCTTGTTTGCGATCCTGATGGCACTCTGGTTGTCGCAGTGAAGGCGAAAGGTGGGCGAGGTTGGAATTTTCGCCTCCTGTAGCAGCTCTTGCAGGTATAGCCCTTCGCGAACTGCTGCTGTCCCGGCGATGTGTTCCTGCTTCAGCCGATGACAGGGCAACCAGCTCCTGCTTCTGTGAGTTCCAGGAGATTGGCCCAGTGGGTTCCAGGCGAAAAACGAAGCCAGTTCGGGACCGACGATTTGCAGGGTCAGGTGCATGATCTGCGTCCACGTAGCCGTTGAGGTCGAAGGAGGTCGTCGTCAGTGTGGAGTAGGAGAGCCAATGTCAGGTGTGGAGATGAATTACTGCAAGGCGCGCTCTAGATCCAGCTGGTTCTTAGCTACTGGCTTGCAAGAATATTGCGCCAGTTGGCTAGCGATGTACGAAAGGTCGGGTCGGCAGGTGACAGAGGCGAATAGCAGGCACCCCAATTTCTGGTGGTACATTTGGAGTCCTGCGGATGACAGAGGTTTGTTCTCCGGTTTGTAGTTGGCACTGGGGTTACGGTAGGGAGTTGAGAGTGGTGCGGGCGAGATGTTCAAGCGTTCCCTCAGCTGCTCTGCGTACTTGGAGGCTGACAGGTGAATTGCTTCTGGCGCGTAGGTGATGTTCAGGCCCAAAAACTGCTTCACGCTGTGGTTGATGGTGATATCAACGTGCAGCGCCAGGTTCTCTTCAAACTGATTGAGAAGTTTGTTGTTGGTGCCCGTGTACAGCAGGTCGTCGACGTAAACTGTTAGGATGATGTAGTCGCCACTAACATGAAGGTGGTACATTCCCGGGTCGTGCGGCAGCTGCTTGAAACCGATCTCGAGGAGAATTTTTCGTAGATGCTGCTGCCAGAGGCGAGGCGCCTGCTTGATCCCGTAAAGAGATTTCTTGAGCTGACAGACTCTGGGGTCTCCTTCTCCGTAGGTGTGTGGCTGCTCCACGAAGATGGTTGCATCCACTAATGCGTATAAGAACGAGTTCTTCACGTCGATCTGCCGCAGTGGCAGGTGTTTAGCGGCAGCTATGGCGAGTAGGATTCTGACGGAGGTGTGTCGACTGATGGGAGCGAAGGTTTGGTCGAAGTCGATACCATGGCGCTGATCGTACCCACGTACGGCCCAGCGTGCCTTGAATCGCTGGATGGTGCCGTCAACTTTAGTTTTTAGGCGAAAGACCCATTTTCCGCTGAGTACCCTCCTCCCCTTCACTGCTGCACAATCGACTAGGACCCATGTGTCTCGAGACTCCAGCGCTTGTAGCTCCGCATCCATCGTGGCACGCCACTCCTTGGCGTGAGGGCCGGTCAGGGCCTGGCGAGGATTCTTGGGCTCCACGGCGCGCGGGAGAGTAGTGACTGACATATGCAGGCCGAGAAGTTGTAGGCCAGACACGTTGGTGGTGTATGTGGTGGTGGTGACTTCTACCACGTCGTCGTCTCCGGTCTCGTAACCAGGTGTTGTGGTGCTTGGCTCAGCTTGTCGTCGTGATGGTCCAGGCGCGGGATCATCGTCGGTGTCGTCGTCGTCGTCGTCGTCATCTTTCCGTGGGCGAGGAGGTACGCTTGGGTGTTCGTCAGTGTCCTCTCAATCCAGTACCGCTGCTGCTGCTTCGTCTTCTTGGGACGCGAAGCTGCGACCGCTGTTGACGTAGCCACGTGCCTCGTTGCGACGTTCGTTCTCGATCCACTGCTTCAAGGTGAGCCGCTCGTAGAAGAGAATATCACGCGCAGGAACAACCTCCTTGCTGTCAATGTCGAGAATGAGCCAGCCTTTGTGCTCGTGACTGAGCCCCAAGTGAATTCCCTAGCGCGCGCGGTGAACGAACTTGCCAATTGTGGCTGATGTCGGTCGATACTGCACCATGCACCCCCAGACCCTCAGCATGGAGGGGTCTCCCCTTGAGCCGGTCCACTTCATGTGCGGGGAAAGGTTGTCCCTGTTGGCCGTGGTGGAGAGGAGGTTCTGCAGGCGCACCGTGTGGTTCATGGTGTAGGGCCAGAACTTCTTGGGTAGGCCGGACTGGTTCATGAGGGCGCGCACTTTCGTCATGAGAGTGCGGTTAACCCTCTCTGCGACACCTTGCTGCTGATGAGCGTAGGGGAGAGAAATCTCGTGCTTGATCCCCTTCTCGGTAAGAACGCTCTCCAGCTCGTTGCTGCAAAATTCTTTGGCTCCGTCGCTCTGCCAGATTTTCAGCTTCCTCCCTGATTGGCGTTGCGCGTATGCGAGCCAGATGCGGAAGACTTCTAGGGCCTTGGAGCGATCGTCGACATTGGCAATCCACACGTGACGTGAGTAGGCGTCGATGAAGGTGAGGGTATATTTCTCGCCGTTGATGCCGTCGAAGGTGAGCACGATGAAACCGCTGTACAATTTCTCCAACTTCTTGTAACGGTTGGTGCTTGGCTCCAGAGAGGGGTAGGCGCTGTGTGAGAGAGTGGCTGTAGGACAGACGGTGCAAGTGACGGGATGTGGGGTGTTGTGGGGTTCCGTGCCGTCAGGTTGCAGCAGTGCTCCTGGCGGAAAAACTTTAGCGCGGAGGCAGTTGGCGAGAGTCTGGCGGGAGGGGTGGCCCAACCGCTGGTGCCAGAGATTGTCTTCGGCGCGGATGCCGGAGGTGCGCTTGTAGTGAGCGTAGTATTCTGCTGCTTCTGCTTCTGTTTCTTGCGGGATCTGGAGTGGGGGTTCTTCCTCTTCTCCTGGTTCTGCTTCGTTGTCTT